TGAGACTTGGAATGTAACCAATAATAAAATAATATTTGAATATTTTTTCGATTTATTTCGAATTGTTCCTTTTTCTTATTTCACTTGATGATTCTTTCCCCAACTTTTCTATTAATATTTATTTGAGGTTCCTTTGGTCATTACTGTTACCCTTCTAGTGTTATATCTTTTGCAAATATAAATAGTAAAATCGAATGAGAAGAAATAAATACATTCGGTAATCGTTACCAATGTCAGGCCCATGAATAAACCAAATAGTCCTCCAAGGTAGGCTAAGAAGGTTTGTTTTATTGTAATATGTAGTAGCTACGTTTATTTATTATACGGAAATTTATGTAATTATACCTATATTATTACTTACCCAGCACGCCACCCCACGTGGTTTTTGCTACCAATGTACCTTTGTACCCCACAACGTCTGTATACGAGAGAAAAACTTTTGTCGAATGTTTCGGAAGCTTATTGTCTCTAAAATAGTAAAATAGAAAGTTTATCACCAACCAAGAAACAACAATATTTTGGGGCATTACCCATCACCGATTGCCTTTAAGATAGTTGTCGAATATAAATGTGATTCGCAACCTTTTAAACATCCACAATACTTTTCCGAATTTTTGCTGATTGAACTTAACAACATATCTTCTGTCCGAATGTCGTTTTGAAGATAAATAGCTGTAATTAAATTTCTTTTCATAATTAACTTTTTNATTTTTGTTTTGTACATACATTAAAGTGCTTAACTGACTTTTTTGTTAGTTGACTTTCAATGTCTACAAAACCGAGCATTTTTGAGAAATTCGAAAATTATTGACGTCAAACTGCACTTGCAGTTACAGTGTACATTTGTGACGTACTGTACATAAGACGATGATGCTATATGGACTTAACGTGTCGATTTAAAAATCATAATAGTTAAGGCGCTTCATTAATTTGCTTTAGATTACTTGTTAATATCTTTATTATTTATGAAAGCGCGCATCTATATTATTTAAAATTACAAAAGTTTTAATACAAACGGTTTTCTATATTTAAAAAATAGAAAAATTCTCTAGGGAAATTACAAATTATTCAAGCCATCGACACAGTCGCAAGATATAATTAACACACTGAAAATTTTTGTTTTAAGATGAGATACACTATCTAAATTTGATAATGTCCAAGTAAACAGTTGATAATAATGACGCGTCTTCCTAAAACATAAAATAGATATTGAAGAAGACACTAAGCACCGGTACCGATGTTCAGCCACATTGCTTGGTCTTATACCTCAGTAAACTGTTATGTAAGTAGGCAAATGGGAAAAGCTAAGCAATTTCATATTCTAAATATTAACTAAAACTACTTTGACAAAGCAGTTTTATGTCATATTAAATGGTTAATTACATTTGTATGCACAATTTCTTATGTATTTTCCTAAATGTAGTCTTATATTTTTATAAAAAAAATGGAGCGAACAAAATTAAAACTTACTTGATTCTCTAAAAATCGATAAGAATTAATCCGAAATAACGCCATTGCAAAAAATTCTTATTCTTTCTTAACAAAATTGAATAATTTGACACTGAAATCTAAACTGTTATTCAACTATTCGACCTATGTATTCGACACGCACAACCCAACAATCTCCTCAGACCTCAGAGGCAACCCAGCAATTGAAAAACCATTGAAAATTTATACTATGGCAAAACTGAATTACGACCATAGATAATGTGACGTCGAGCATAAAAAACTGAGAAATATTAACATCAGTGTGAATATGGTGTGAATGCAGTCACACAGTAGATAATGGGGATCCATAGAATGTCTGGATAAGGGTTTACTAATTTCAACACGAATTAAAAACGAGTAGGTACTGATTTGAGAAGTTTGAAATTCAATTTTCATATAACTTACTTAATTTGCAGCAAAAAGTTAAATATGCATTAGGAAAATTCAGGTACGTTTTGGTTTAAAAAAGTTTTTTCCGAAAGTAAAAGGTAGTTTCATAATACTTTCTCTTTTTAGTGAGTACCAGAGCAGAATTTGGAAATCTGGATGTCAAAAGTGGTGAAAACTGATAACCTACGCCTTTATTGTAATTTATTTGAGTATTTTCTCATATTAGGACATTATTAACGTTTGTATTCATTTAAGAAGTCTGTGGAGTCACCTACTACAGTAAGTATAGATAATGTTTCACATTTCATGCATATTTCTTTGTCTTCTTTCATAATGCAGTATTTTCTTATATGCTATTCTTATATTATTTATCAAAAGTAACATAAAATTCGTTGCATTTATTTAATGAACTTATATAACTTATAGATTGATATATAACATGTATGGCACTCTTCCAGATGGAACTTCCTCAATCGTGTGACACTTTTGTTGCATTACCCCCTTTGACAAAGCATGGTGTGATTTTTGGTAAAAATTCTGATAGACCAAAGGGAGAAGTTCAAGAAGTTGTCTATTTCCCAGCTTCACAATGTTCAAATGTTATAAAAGTAGGTTGCAATTTGACTCTTGTAAATTAAACTAATTTTAGATATATTTCTTTTGTAGTGCACTTATATTGAAGTGGAATATTCGGGACCTAGAAAGGCTGTTATTTTAAGTAAACCATCATGGATGTGGGGTGCAGAAATGGGGGCCAATGAGTGTGGAGTTGTTATTGGTAATGAAGCAGTTTGGACAAATAATACTAATGGTGAAAATGATCCTAGTGTAAAAAGACTATTAGGAATGGATTTAGTAAGGTCTCTTTTTCACTCACTACTTTTTTGTTATGTTTTGTCCACTTAAAATTTGTTTTTCGTGTTTCAATTTCAGCAAATTATACATTATATCTATATTGCTTTTTATTTGTAGATTGGGATTGGAACAAAGTTCTTCAGCAACAGAAGCCTTAGAAATTATTACTAATTTGTTAGAGAAATATGGACAGGGTGGTCCTTGTGCTGAGGAAGATTCTGGTTTAAGTTACCATAATTCTTTTCTAATTGCTGATTCTTCTACTGCTTGGATTTTAGAGACATCTGGAAAGCAGTGGGTAGCGGAACAGATCTCGAGTAAGGCTCTTTTTAAATTTGCTCAAAGGGTCATTATTTTTAACTCTGTTTTAAGGTAAAACACTAAAAAATGTGTATTTTGGAAACCATTGACTAAAAACTAAGTAAAACTAACAATTGTCTGAGGAATTTTATATAGAATTAAATTATCTTGAAAGGTTTTTCTTGTATTGTCAATATTTTAGCTGATATTTATGTGTAATAATGACTTCTTAATTTTTCATTTCCAAAGTTTATAAGTATATCAAAAAATTTAGTGTTTACTTTGTTGACACACGGATCAGTTTTATAGACTATGTAATTCGTCACAAAATGACTTGTAGTAAAAAGATTCCAAAACGTAATTCAGGAGTAAAACAATACATACAAAACCATGAATTGAATACTTCTTTTTTGAATTACAAGCTTGTTCTTTTTGGAATAATTCTTACCTTTTAAACATAACTGAACTGTTTATTTACTTGGAATATGAAAAACATATGTACTATACATATATATTTTAGGTGGGTGTAGGAATATTTCTAATGGTTTATCAATAACTACCAAATTTGATAGGCATTCCAAAGATTTGTTTGACTATGCCAAGGCACAAGGATTTTGGAATGGAGAGGTATTTTAGAAGCATATTTTGAGTAAAAAATGTCTTACTTTTTTTTTGTTAGGATGAATTTAATTTTTCTGAAGTATTTGGTGGTGAAAAGGTACCAGGGAGTGATCGTTACATTGAGGGTCAAAAATTATTAAAAAAATATACAGAAACTAATGATTTTAAAGAAGTAGATATGTTTAACATCTTAAGGGATAGACAATCAGGGATATGTAGACCTTGTGATAGTCCTTTTCCAACACAGGGTAGCCAGGTAATACTCAATCTTGCTTTAATGAATTTTATTCTTAATGGATTCAGTTTAAAGGTTTCTGTGTTAAGTTCTACTAGACCGAGTGTTCACTGGTTTACCGCCACCCCCGATCCTTCAATATCAGTTTATAAACCCTTCATATTCACTCCAAATGCTATTATTTCTAAACATACTATATGTCCAGAAGAAAGGGTAAGTTTTTATGATATTTAGTCTTTTTTCGTATTTTATACAACTACATTTAAAAAATCTACCTACATTTAATTTGTATAAAATAATTTATTTCTGTACTTTTTTTAATTTAATTTCCCCTTAAAATGACAAGGTATTTTCCTTTCTCATTAACAGTAGACTAGCGGTAGTATATTGCATAATGGAAACCCTAAATTAATTAATTCATCAATAAGTAAATATGAGTAAAGAACAATTTCTAATTCTTTTTAAAAAAAATCTTGG